GTTCACGTTCGACAAAGTAAAATTTACGTGCTCGTCAGCACTAAGAGGTTAGGACAATCTTTCTCAAAGCGGGCAAAACCATCCTCTATGGATGCTGCACACGAAACGGTGGCAAAAAATTGTATTCTCGTGACGCGTTTACTATTTCCTTTTGTTCGTACCATGGCACCGATTTATGAGATGAGACGAAAAAATAGTTCTTTTTTAATTACAAGTAGGTCTCTCCAGTCCTATAAGGGACTCTCCAGTCCTGGCATAGAAAATATATTATTTTTATATAAAACTTGAATATATTATTTCATACATTTACATTTCAGGTGTAAACATAAGATTTACGTTCCATACTAATATTTAACTAAATTTCTTCAACCTATCTATAACTTAAAGCCAAACTAATAACCAAAGTCATGTCTGCAAGCAATATCTATGATTATTCCTTGCAAATCATGAATCATTTATCAATCTTTATTACTTTTCTAGACCAATTTCAGTTTAAGATTACTCGATCGAAACAAGCTATAATTTACATTTAGGTATTTATCATAGAAAGCGTTCATGCTTAAAATATTACATTACCGACCTTGTAAGCAAAGTAGAACAATGATTACTTAAATCTTCCAAACAAATTTAGCTTAGACTTTCTTATTTATGTCTTTAATAACAACCTTTATATTGTCTGAGAAACACTAAAATTGATACACTATAATTGCAATAAATACATGAAAATTTTCAATTAACAAAAAACATTATGTACGGTTTATAATTTAACATAATGAATATTATAAAAATTGTATACAAAGTCTGTATCATATACCCTAATGCTAATAGGCGTAGGATTCTAAATTTGGGTCAAGTATTATTAGTATAATCAATAATGCAGAGCTTTACATTCTAGCTTGTTTTGAACTTTTAAACCACGTAAATAAAAGGACACTATTATACATGGTATTGCTAAGTTGTAATTATAGTAGAAAATCCCGATGTATGGGGTGGACCCCTCACTCTTTTTCCAGACGATTTTTAACTATAAAATATATTAACAAACACGACCCAAGGGGGTTGTCACCTGTCGTCGGGGCGTCGTAGTTGAATGCGTAAGCGATCCTGCGACTCCCCATTAAGACGGGGGAAGGTTTTGTTGGTAGTACTGGCTTTGCCGGTGAGTCCCACACCTCGTGCGTAAATGCATTTCCCAACGTTAAAAAGAAAAAAAAGGGGGGGTTGTCACCAAAAATTTGCTCCAGGCTATTTTTAATGAAAAAATGTGTTGTTTTTTTTTTGAGTACAAGGATTCTTTTTCTGTGACAAATGATTGCCAATCGAAAGTAAAAGACTGGTAGAAAATACCTTCATACATTTGGCAGCATTTTTCACGCACATTACCTGACATCCAGGTATAAACAAGTAAATTGAAGTAGTTAATTGCTCATGTCGTTTTCCGAAACGAACCAAGTATCAAAATGTAGATAATTTTATAACAAATTTAATAATATAGGGTTGATATACCAAAACATCTCCAGACTAGAGGGTTTTTGGTAAAAAATAGCCTAGAGCAGATTTTCGGTGTCAACCCCCCTGGGTCGTGTTTGTTAATATATTTTATGGTTTAAAAAATATATTTCGTCTGGAAAAAGAATGAGGAGTCATCCATGTAGATCGGAATCTTAGACTATTAGAATTCTTTAAAATATCTAATTACTATTATAATCGCGAGAGTTTGTATGTGCGTGTGTCTGCGTACGTGAGTACGTGTGTAATGTGTATGTATGTTTGTTACACCATCACACTAAAATGGCTGGATGGATTTCAACGGAATGTAGCACAAAAATAGTTTATGATCTGAAGTAACTATAAATGAGAAAGAGGCCATAGTAACTAAGGAATACCTAAGTCACTAGTATATGATAAAATAAAAACCTAGCATTTAATTATTTATGAAATTGCTCTATAAACGCAACCATTAGACGAATAGAACATAAAGTTTTATTTACCATGGTAACTTACTCAACCTATTGTTAATCTTATGTAGTCACTTTATTGTAGATGGGTTTACGATCACGTTTTACTTAGAACAAAGAAACCTTCGGTTTACGAGTATCATTTCTTAACACCCCATCCCTTATCCCATACCCATTATTAAATAGATGTATCGACGCATACATTGCAACTATTACTGGTAAGTGCATATTAGTTATTAACTCAGTTCGACTTTTCTTGACAGTCAGCATGATCGTAATTGTTTGTTGTATTTGGAATATACCTACTCAAGTGTCCACTTTAAATAACTTAAGAGCATGGTTTATACATTGTAATAATTAAATGAAATGATCGCTGAAAGCCTAAATTCTTATAGAAACACTACTTCCTTTAATGGATATCTCAATCTTGGCAATAAAGTGGAAATTATCTATACTAATATTATAAAGAGGCAGAGTTTGATTGTTTGTTAGATTGAACACGCTAATCTCAGGAAGTATTAATCCGATTTTTCAATACTTTTTGTATTAGAGAGCCCTTTTATTGAGGAAGGCTACTGCCCGAGGGAACGGAGCAATAATCATAAATGTCAACAAATCGAGCAGACTATACTATTGACACATACATTATTGTAAAACTGAAGTTTATAATATGTTTAGTGCTTTAAGCTCAGAAACTTTAGTCAAATACTAATCGTGTATAGGGTAGTAGGTAGTTGAAAAAGGCATATATATATGTATAATCGAATTTAACGCGGGTGAAACCACGGGACACAGCTAGTACAACAATCACTTAAACTATGATCCCTAAAAATGGTCATACTAGAAGAGATAAGCCTGCATATTTTCGTGTTCATAGTAAAATTGCGTAGGTGAACCAGGGCGTATGGGGTAATCACACATAAAGTTTCCAACGGATAAACTTTTTACGGACAAAACTCTATAGTGTGCAGTCTCATGCCCTAGCTCACTCATATAATTACTACATTGAAAAACCGCCTAAACGATATCATTTCTAGTGGAACTATCGATATAGAATAAATTATATATTAATCTGATGTTACCTTATACAAGTTCTGAAATAAACACAGTAATGACGTCAATCTACTTTTGTGTGGTTATAGAAATCGCATCAGTACCTTCGTCATTCAGGCTCCGTCTTTGACAGTGGGATTGTAATTAAATTACTAGAAGATTACTTAAGACACTAGAGTCATAAGATGTAACGGTGTAGAAATTCTATAAATTAAACAGCTTTCGTAATAATTAAATAGGTGATGAAATATTGTATGAAACTTTGATATTTTTATGTAGGATGACACTAAAAACAATACGTATATCAGATTTTTCGAAATTCATCCGTTAAACGGATAAGAGGGGGTTGTAATATTTATTTGGGAAAACATAAATTAATGTTCTTCTATTCAATTAAATAAACGGTAAGGGAGTAAATTAGGAAATGAAAAGTTTTTAATTAAATTCGAACGTGCTCTTAGCGACTTTTTTAAGATAGACTAAAGTTAAGTGAATCTAGGGAGATTACATAAACGCACACGACGTATTATTACAAATTCGATATGACACTAAATAAAAAGTATATACAAATTGAATTGGAAATTTAAACTGAGCAATTTTTTTTAGTCAACGCGAACGTAGCCACGGGCAGAAAGCTATAACAAAATAAGAATGGCACTTTAAATATGTAACTTAAAAAAATGGGAAGGTGAGGACAGTCTCTCGACTTAAACTTATTCAGGTGTACATAACATTGCGCCTTTAAAAATTAAGTAGATTGTAAATTACAATAGTTCAAATATGTAAATCCTATATTAATTCCTATATATATTTCGATATACGAAACCCTCTTTTTTGGTATAAATTCACGACAAAAGGTTTAACGTAGGAGGTAACGTGGGAGAAATATCCATTTTTCGTACAGTTTATTGAATATCTTTTAATCAACGCGAAACAAATTCGAGAGATTGCTACACTAAGAGAAATAAAAAAATATTTTTCCTCACATACCAAATACGGCTTCTATAAAATATGTCACTCAACATAAACATTTCATACACGTCGCTCGACATACTGACAGACGGAAATTAAAAGTCTCTATTTGTTTTTGATAATTTTTGATTTATATTACTATAGTATATGAAAATATTTTTAAATATAAATCTTAAATGATATCAAAACGATACTTAATAAAAATAGTACAATAAAGATTTACTGTTAGAAATAGAATGTATAACCTAGTATTTGTCTTACAAAAGTGCAAGATTGCACTATTAAAAAATGTTTATACTCGTATCTAGGTGATAACCTGTAGAATTACTGAACTGATACGATCCGCAGTGAAAACAAATATAATGGAGAAATCAATCAAAATTTGTATTTTGCTTGTCTGTAGGTATGTCAGTCTGGGTATGTGCGCATTAATTCGTCGCCTTACTGCTTACTTGTTCAAAACATCAACACTTGTTGTTTTTTACAATAGAGTTTTTTTCTGTATTATAAAAACAAAGCTTTAAGGTTTACGCTTTTTTTAAATGAAAAGTATATTTTATACTATTAAAAAGTGTATTTTAATAGAATCGACATACATATTTTAAAAGTCAATAATTCTGAGACGACTAATTGTAAAGGCACATGACCATTTTTGAATCGCTATCGACTTATTAAAAATTTTAAGATTTGTTTTGCTTTTTAGGATTATTTATCAAAGCAGATTCATGTAGACGATGTCGTCGGCATTTTATAGAATGTGGTGCGCATAGGTCCTAACGGCTAAAACATTTTTTCACTCTGAAAGGCCGTAGCCTTTCTCTAATATAGAAAATAATAAAATATATAAATAATAATTAAATTGCTCAACAACAACAAAAAGAAGACCTCCTCAGCGTTATCATATTAATTTAGATGAAACAAATAATTACGTTGCAGCATTAGCATGTAACAGATTAACATATCACAAAGGCAAGCTTAGGAAGTCATTAATACTATTTTAAAGCAAACTATACTCACTTTAAGTTAACATCTTCTAGGATTTGATGAGGCAATAAATCCAGTATCTGAGAGACGTTGAGCGTATCCCAAGACAGATCTCGTCCTAGGACCTGCTGAGTACAGTTTATAAAATTCTGAATTTCTGTCTCCGAGTCCATTGCTCTACTAATACACTTCACTTTTTAACACTTGATCACTAGTTTACACTTTAGAAATTTTAAGACAATATTCCCACATCATCGTCCTCTTTGAGTCATTTTTTAATTTTCTAATATGCGCATATAAACCTTATTCAAAAATTTATACAATGTTAAAAAAAATTCTTCTATACAAAATTAATATTTTAAGCCTAAACCAAGTAAAAACGAAGAATATTTACTGAGGTCTAGATTTCAAAAAATCCTACATAAATTCTAACTTCTAATATCAGTTCCTTTTTTACTCATGTGAAATAAAATATACTTATTTTCGAAACAACGCATATGGTTTGGTACGTGAGTGCCAGTTGAGTTTTTTAAATCACAGTTAGGGCAAGTCAAACAAGTTTTGTGATAAAAATCAACGGATAATAAATTATTGTACTGTACTTCTCCGAATTATACTATACTAGCATTGCCCGCGGCTACGCTCGCGTTCAGATGACCCAAAAACCAAATTCTTAGGTTTTACATATTAGTATATTCTTACACAACAGTTTTTGTATTTTTTCTTAGAAATGAGACATTTTCCCGCGGAAAAAAGTATCCTATATGTTGACCCGGATAACCAGCTATCACCACACCAAATTTCATCCAAATCCCTTTAGTGGTTTTTCTGTGATGCGGTAACAGACGGACAGACAGACAAAAATTCTAAAAACTGTAGATTCGGCCTCTGTATCGATAATAATGTTTATTTCAAAAAGATTTTCCAAAAAATATTTAATGTACAGATTCGTCTTAGTTACAATTTTATTATATGTATAGATATGTATTATGTATGTACCTACTTTAATTTTAAATCAATACTGCAATGGGAAAAATGATGTTCCTATATTTATTTATATACAATGTTTTGTATTTACTATTAGTTAAAACAAGTAAAAAAATTAAAATTTCATACAAAATTTACACACATATATCGACATATATTCCATATATATATATATATAACATTCTCTTAATAACAACAAAAAGGCTTTAAGTTGTGAGCGAGGTTGGGGCCATTTAAAATCGTTAAACACGTGTCTAATGTAGCTAGAAAAATAAAAGTAGAATAGTTTAACGATAAACAAATAACAGCTTTTTAATTTCTTAGATAAATCATTCCATATTAAATTTAGTAATTTTTGCCCTCAGACGTACGTTACAGCAACAGAAGTAGTAACACATACGCCCACACAGACATTTACTAAGTCACAAACTTTCTCAGATTATAATGTATTCAGCCCTTTTTAACGTTCCATAGGCACGGGCTTCTATTCAATACGAGTTAGATCATGCCATAGTCAACCAAATGCCACTGTAGCCAAGTGCGGGTTGGCAGACTGACACATGTCTTTAGAAAATTTTCTCAAAAACATTCTTTTTCATGCAGGTTTTCCTCACGATGTTTTTATTCGCCGCAATACAAATGATAATCATGTTGAAAATGATTCGCGCATGAAAATATCAGAGGTGCCAGTCCCGGGATTTGAACCAACTTCACTCGGTTTCCCATGCGAACGCGTTACCACTAGACTATTACTACCTTTTCATTATAATATACTACATATTTATAATATACTAATTACTATAATATTAGTTGAAGTGTAAAATGAACTTTAGCACTAGCGAATATTTCATGTAGTTCGCAATTATTTACTAAAATTCCCTTTCTATAAAACCGTTACGAAAGCTCAAGTTATAAAACGAATTTTTATTTTAAATTATGTATAGTGCAGTAGTGCTTAAGAAGTCCTTATCTGAAAATAGGAAAAAAATATCTTCGACATTTATCCAGCTTTTGATTTAACAGTGTACGCATTAAGGCAGACAACAATTCCAAGAACTAGTAATGTGGCTACTATACAATTCCATCCGAAACATCACCCGACATGAATATTTGAAAAATTATTCAACGCCTACATACTTGACCCTTTCACTACTTTGCCTACTAAAAGAATTTCATTGGAAGGTTATTTCTGTTTGAATAAATAACATTTTTAATACGTACGACTGAACGCTGTATACGTATTTTTATTTGAAAATAAATATTAAAAACATGAAAGGAAAATATTACAAATAAATACATACTAGGAAATACTACTGAAAATCTTTGTTATTTAACTGAGAAAATAAATGTCATAATTTTAGTCATTCAATTAAAACTATCCATATAGTGTAACTATTTTAAATATCTTGAAGAGAAACTTTGTATGCAATTAATACATCGATACGTAAATAACAATTTAATAAAATACTTATATATACTCCGACCCTCAAGACCCATTTCAAATGGGCTCTGTTGAAAATCGGTTTCGCGAAGCTTTCTAGCTATCACAAAAAAATGTATAATATAGGAAGCAATATAAAATTGGTCTATGTATTAAAATGTAATTTGGCATTTTAGACAATTGTGTTTTAATGTGTTCTAAAGAACAAGTATCCGAATATAATCATTTTTCTTAGAAGTTTTTAATTATAAGAATTTACAACTAGTAAAAAATCATTATCAATGATGATGATGATGTTCTCCTAGCCGATTCCGGCCACGGCGGCCAATCTCATTGAGATTAGCCAACTGCGCAGGAGATATTATAGTGCACAAGTGTACGCGCAGACACAAGTGCACTCTCTATTCCTATCACTCTCATACTCCGGTGGGACGACCACTCGACACGACCGGTGAGAGTTAAGGCGCAGGACCGACGGCTTTACGTGCTCTCCGAGGCACGGGGGTGAAACACCGCCAACTTCCCAACTCCGGGTTGTTACTGAGACTTACTATACAGAAAGACTCAATAACTAAACTTGGCCCGACCCGGGACTCGAACCCAGGACCTCCGGGTGTGCAGCCGTACATGCTAGCCACTACACCACCGAGGCAGTTAATCATTATCAATAGGTACATATTGTTACATGTCGAATTTTAGAACATTTTAGGTCCTGAAAAATAGTAGATTTTTTTTTATTGCTAGTCACATATGTATACTGTGTAGTATATAGTGTAAGATACGCAAGAAAATATGGTAAATAGTTGTAGAACAATGGTAGCGCATTCTCTTGAAAAATCAAGCGAAGATGGACCTGAAGCTAGCGGCCGACTAGGAGCCGGCCACAAAAACATATGTTATTAGAATAAATACGTTACATATGCAATTAAATATTACTTTTTAATTATTTTAAATACAATAATAGGAATGTATAGTGTTTTATATAATTGTACTTATATATACTTTTATATATTATTGTACTTATATCTACTGTTGATATTAATATATAGTAAAAATATCAACTTGATCTGAGTTTGCTTTCTCGTATTTTCATACGATTGAATGTTTGTATGAGAACGCGCCAGAAGGCAGTATAAAATTTTTTTACAAAGAAAGCTAAGGCTTGATCCTGTCTAATTCAAACGGTTTTCTGTTAGTGTATATAAGTACAATAATATATAAAAAAATCAACTAGCTCCTAGTTTGCTTTCTATCCTTTTTATGGAACTTAATGTTGTTTTTACAATTATGCGCTCTCAATAGCAACAATAATTTTTTTACGACACTTTGAGTGTTTGATTCTGCAAAATTTGTACAATTTTGAATAAATGCATATTATAGAAAGCTTCAGTAAAAAAATCAGCAAGATTCAAGCATGCTTTCTAGTTTTTCTTGGCTTAAATGACCTTTTACGCTAAGAACGGACACGAACATTACTGAATTAAAAATTTGGTATTAAATTATATAAAACACTATAAATTCCTATTATTGTACTTAAAATGATTAAAAAGTAATATTTAATTGCATCTGTAACGTATTTAATCTAATAACATGTGTTTTTGACGCCGCGATACCGTTGCGGCCCTTTGTTTAATTCGTCAGGTGGCCGGCTGCTAATCGGCCGCTAGCTTCAGGTCCATAAGCGAAGCGGGTTCAAACGAGGATCTTGCACTGGCTCGTCTCTGATATTCTAATATGCGTATCTTTTTCAACACGATTACCGGTAGCTAATAGGGTAAGAAACATTATAAAGAAACCTACATGTCTAAGAAAACCTAGCTAGTGTTCTTGCTCATCTGATGGTGGATCAAGACTAGAAATCTAGAAATGAATGAATGCACTGATTGCCTACTAGTAAACATTAGTTCGAATCCATTCAATTTGTTTAGAAAGATTTAATACATTCGACTGTATAGAGTCTGGTGATAAAACCAGGAGGTTAATAAGCTCGGCTTTTTAGTATCACCAGTGAGTAAAATCACTTACATTTATATGTGTATACTGTGGATTAACATATAAGCTACTAATGCTATTTTTAATGGATTTCTTACGCGAGATGGGAGCCGCGGACAATAACAAGTACATAACATATAATTATATTTATATTTCCACGTAACTAAAATGTCACCATATAACTAAAAAAGCTGTTATGGTGTTAAATATAAAAAATGGAATCAAAATCTATTTTTCTTGTTCCACATAAAAGCATCTACTGACTGAAAGTTAGATATTCTACTATCAGATCGTAATAAGTCCTGAAAACAAATGACAAAAACATTCACTGAGATCTTTCTATATCCTTATTATCCGTAATAATATTATAAGTGCGTATTCATTTATCCTTCTTAAAGTAACGGGTAACAGATGGCCATTTAGACATTCATTCCGATTCATGAAATGGTTATAAGAACGTTGATAAGAAGTAGCTTATGATATAAATTATTTCCATTACGAATTTCACTTAAATATGATTACAAAATAACAGGTTTTTACTAAATTCATATGAAATTATATACAGTACTAAACACGATTTTTTTAAATTTTTTCGATGTCTGTCTGTCGATTTGTTATGGCTTATCTCCGATACGGCTGGACTGATTTTGACGGTACTTTCAGTGGCAGATAGCTGTTGTTATAAGGAGTAACTTAGGCTAGTTTTATTTTAGAAAAAGAATTAGCGATTAGCCAGTCTAAATAATATATAAA